CAGCTTCCAACCCCCCACTAACATAAATACCAAATAGAAAATGAGTGAAATCACTGGGTTTGCATTATAAGAGCCATTTCAGCTTTGTCTCTGCCCATTAGCTTCAAACAATGCAACAGATGCCTGTTAACAGTTTCATGCCCATTTTTAATTAGCAGATGGAGCTGTGTTTGTGTCTGTGTTCTGCCCAGCACTCATCTGAGTGACAGGGTAGTGGGTGGATTAGACCTGGACTGGGCGTTTGGGTTGAATAAGGCCAAATTCTATTTTTAAAAATATTTATGTAAACATTTTTATATAGACCGCTTGTATATCTCACTGGAATAGCATATGCCTATAGTACATTGATGTTTATGGTTATGTTTTCTTCTTGTCTTACAGGAAAAAAAAATGATCATTTTATAGTTTAAATATAGGTTTTCTTTAGTCTCAAAACTGTCATGAAGTGGCTTTCTTTTCCTTCCTCTCTCTCTCTCTCTCTCTCTCTCTATCTCTTTCTTTCTTTCTTTTTCAACAGTCTTGCTCTGTTGCCAGGCTGGAGCAATCCCAGCTCACTGCAACCTCCACCTCCTGGTCTCCAGCAGTCCTGCTTTAGCCTCCAGAGTAGCTGGGACCACAGGTGTACACTTCCATGCCTGGTTAATTTTTGTATTTTTTATAAAGACAAGATTTTTATGTGTTGTCCAGGCGGATCTCAAACTCCTGAGCTCAAGTGATCCGTGTGCTTCGGCCTCCCAAAGTGTTAGGATTACAGGTGTGAGCCACCATACCTGGCTGAAGTGGCTTTCTTTAAAGACCCATTTCAATATTTTGGCATAGTATGTTGAAGAATATGCAAAGCTGGGATGAAAAATGTCAATATTGATAGATTGGTAGTGACTGCCAGGAATGCTATGTTCTGTTCAGTTCTGAGGTCCCCAGTGAGCTCAGCATGGCTGAGGGCTGTGATGGATTCCTATTGTCTGCCATGGACAACAGGGAAAGAGAGGGAGGGTGGCAACTTCCTATACATTTGCTGTTTTCTAAAATGAATAGGTAGCTATTTGCTGTCTAACATGTTATGGCTAAATTTCAGTATTAGTAATATTATTAGTAAATAATGATTAGATATAGTATGTCTGGAGAGGTGCCCTTTTCCTATGTTCAGTTTTGTGTTTTGGGATTTTTCTTATTTCCCGTTGAATTAATAAGAACCTGAAAGGAGGTAGGCAGGCACCTGATTGTCCTTAGAGGAAGAAACAAATCGGCTTTTCAGAAAAAGTTAGCTAGTTGCTTTGGACTTTGGGAAGCTACGTAAAGCGGTGGAAACAGTTCTCCACAGCAGCTTACTTAGCTGTGATGGAAGTATTTTCTTATTGTCTTACTTGTAGCATTTAGCATTAGTTTAATTAAGCACTTTGGTATTTACCTGTTACTACAACTTTGGACATTTTCCAAGGAGCTCTAATCTTCCTCAGCCCCGAATTTTAATTCTTGGCTCTCAGGGAGAATGCCAACACTCTGGTTGTTCTTATGTTCATCACATTTGGGCTTGCTGCCACTGAGAAAGCCTGGGTAATGGTGCTGCTTGTGGTCTCCTGGCAGCACTGCAGGATTTCAAAGCACATTGCAAAAGCTGAATTAGGTGTGGAATCCCACTTCATCATGATAAAAACCATCCACAGAGCTGTTAAGCAACGTGTAGTATTGCATGGCCTTCTGCTGGCAGAGCTAGGACTGGTGTGGCTTCCCCTATCACGTTATAATTTTGCACTTTTGCAAAGAACTTGGTGGTAATTATTTTAATAAATCATAGATAATATCCTGATGTATAAAGTGGAAAGACAATCTTTGAAGATGTGTGATCAAGTTTTAATGTGAAATATTGGATGATTTATTAAAAGTTGAATTGTAAATTCATTTCTTACGCAATATTTGTTAATCTGGGATGGATATTGCAGCATACTCTAATCTCCTTACACACACATACATGTGAATACACCAAATCCATTACAAGAAAAAGAGTTTGTGTTGTGAGATGTCAGTGACTAACCCTTCTGTAATTTGTTTATTGCTTATAAATGCGGATGTGATCGCTGTTTGTGGTTTTCAACAAGGAGTCTTTTACTTTTTCTCTTCTAGAGATCTCTGAGTAAAATCTTGATAGAGCATGGAAAATAATTTTTTATCGAGAGCCAAGTGTTTTACTTTCGGAATGATTTCAACCACTTTATTATTTCATTGTCCCTTAGCACCTCACCCATACCAAGATTTAAGGAGAGGGGATTAGTCTGGGGAGAGAGAAATGAAAACATCTCCCCTCCTCCATCCGTTTCTTTGGCTACTTGGTTCAGTGTCTTTTTGCTTTTGTTAGCAGTTGGAGCAAACTATTGGGTGAAGAGTTAGAAACTTCTCTGTAGAATAGTTTGAGAATTAATAGTGACCTTTGACTTCTTTTTTTTTTTTTTTTTTTGAGATGGAGTTTCGCTCTTGTTACCCAGGCTGGAGTGCAATGGCGTGATCTCGGCTCACCGCAACCTCCGCCTCCCAGGTTCAGGCAATTCTCCTGCCTCAGCCTCCTGAGTAGCTGGGATTACAGGCACGTGCCACCATGCCCAGCTAATTTTTTGTATTTTTAGTAGAGACGGGGTTTCACCATGTTGACCAGGATGGTCTCGATCTCTTGACCTCGTGATCCACCCGCCTCGGCCTCCCAAAGTGCTGGGATTACAAGCTTGAGCCACCGCGCCCGGCCTGTGACCTTTGACTTCTATATTTCTTTATATTGTTTAGAACTAGATGATTGTAAAAAATTGGTGCCAGTCTCAGTCATAGCCAGTAATGAACACAGACCAGGGTGTTGTCTGCAAACAAAATAATTTGAGTTATTGCATTCCCTATTTTGTCTACGTTGTTTTGAAAATTTCCAACCTTTTAGAAGCATGAAAAACTTGTGGAAAAAGTGAAATAATTTCTTTCACATACACAAAATTCCATTATAATCAAGTTGAAAAACTTGCATATCTAAGTATATATAATATCATCAGAGGTATGTCTTTACTTTGGCCGTTCAGCCTTCAACTTTGTTTTTTTCTTTTTTTTTTTTTGAGACTTTGTCACCAGGCTGGAATGAGTGGCCTCCTGTGTATCACCCCACCCAGCTAATTTTTGTATTTTTTGTGGAAACTTGGTTTCATCACGTTGCCCTGGTTAGTCTTGAACTCCTGAGTTCAAGTGATCTGCCCATCTCGACCTCCCAAAGTGCTAGGATTACAGGTGTGAGCCACCGTCCCCAGCCAGCCTTTACCTTTGATGAGCACTATTACCTTTTAAATTTCTGTTGTGATCTTATTGTATGATTTACCAGTTTTTCTTCAAGTTATCTCTTAATTCTTATTTTAAAAAATATGTAGGGCTGTGAAAAACAATTGGTTTGTGTTTTGAATTACTCATGGCACAAACCCTTCCTGAAAACCTCAGACTAGCCTGTTTTCTGATCACAAAGGGTGAGTGCAGGCCTCAGTCTTCAGATCTTTTCTAGCTGCAGCATTCTGTGAGTCTGTGAAATCAAACAGTGCATATAAAAGGGTTTGTCTTTTTCTTTCTTCAGTAAATGATTGTGAATGAGGATTCTCTGCACTGGTAGACACTAGTGTTTTGATGACATGAAGACGGAAGAAGTAGCATTAGTTAATTCAAACAAGCCTGTATTGATCTTGTAAATTGGCTAAAATCTTTGTTGTACTAAAGGGACTGGTTAATGTTTTTGAATCCCGTTCTTTAAATGCTTTGGTTTGGGTCATAAAGCTAAACATCATCAGAAAAATAACTTCCTGAAAATTGTGAAAGTATTTCTTTGAGAAGAAATGTATAAAGTATTTTCAAATAGTCTCATTTTCTTTCTGTAAAACTGGTGAGGCTAGATACAGTGGCTCACACATGCAATCCCAGCACTTTGGGAGGCCCAGGAGGGAGGAGCCCTTGAGCCCAGGAGTTCAAGACCAGCCTGGGCAACATAGTGAGACACCCATCACCCCAAAAGGATAAATAAGACAAGACAAAACAAACAAACAAACAAACAACAAACTCATGGTGAGGTAGGTGGAAAATAATCTAAAATAATAGGAAGCCCTTTGCTGGTGCTAAATTTCCATTTGACAGATGATGGGTCTAAGGCCTAGAGGCACCGGAGTTGCCCAAGGTCACACAATGCCTGACATTGAACATTCATTTTTAAATTTCAAATCTATTTTCTCTTACACCCCATGTGCCTTTATTTCTCTTGCTACGAAAAGACAGTGATGGTTTGGCATACAGTCTGGGTGTAGTTAACGTTTTGTGGGAGAACAGAAAGGAACTGGACTAGGAGATCTGGAATGCAAGTACATCTTCGGCTCTTGATTAACCTTTTGCTTTGGGGTTAAAAGGGAGTGGCTGGGGGTAGGTGAGTTCTTAACTAGAACTCCAAGAACCCCTTTCCTCCTTGCTTAGGAAGTTGGGGGTAGGGATACTGTAGTGGTTTGTTAGTCAGCTACTCATGCCAAACATTAGGTCATGATCATTCTTACTAAATTCACTCATTCAACACTTTTTGGTCTGCAAAATTTTGAAAGGGGAGAGAGTTAGGGAGTGTCCAGGCGATTTTAACACAATGATGAAAAGGTCTTCAAAGGAGTAAATCTAAGTGTTTATGAGCGTGCAGAGGAGAGGTTGGGGAAAGTTTCCAGGAGGGAATTACATCTCAGCTCAGATTGGAATCCGAAGGAGGAGTTAGTTGGGTAGAACAGAAGAGAGTAAGGAGGGAGGCTCTCTGCCCACCAGAGAGACCGAATAGCCCTTGAAGGAGGAACTTGAAGACATCTTGTTCGGCTGATGCCTCAGGTAAATGAGAGAAGTGACAAGAGGCGAAGTTGGGTCATTAGAGGGTAGAAGTGCTTCTAACCTTATTCAAGAGTCTGGACTTTATCCGGGAGCAGTAGGGAGCCACTGTGGGATCATACATGGGGAGGCTGATTAGTACGTTAAGAGACATTTCCAGCAGTGGGTCCTTCCGGGGGGGTGACATTCAGCTGGCCGTTTGGGGCGACGGACTTTCCATCCCAGAACCATGGCCCAATTTATCCGTAACCTTGTGGAGAAGACCCCGGCGCTTGTGAACGCTGCTGTGACTTATTCGAAGCCTCAGTTGGCCACATTTTGGTACTACGCCAAGGTTGAGCTGATTCCTCCCACCCCTGCTGAGATCCCTAGAGCTATTCAGAGCCTGAAAGAAATAGTCAATAGCACTCAGACTGGTAGCTTCAAACAACTCACAGTTAAGGAAGCTGTGCCGAATGGTTTGGTGGCCACTGAGGTGTTGATGTGGTTTTATGTCGGAGAGATCATAGGCAAGCGTGGCATCATTGGCTATGATGTTTGAAGACCAATCTTTAACATCTGGTTATATTTGATTTATTATTTGAGTGTTGTTGGACCACGTGTGATCAGACTGCTATCTGAATAAAATAAGATGTGTTAAAAAAAAAAAAAGAAAGAGACATTTCCCTTCACTTGGACCTTTGCCATTTACAAAGTACTTTCACTGGCCAGGCGCGGTGGCTCACGCCTGTAATTCCAGCAGTTTGGGAGGCCTAGACAGGTGGATCACTTGAGGTTGGCGTTTGAGACCAGCCAGACCAACATGGAGAAACCCCACCTTGTTAAAAAAAGAAAAAAGAACTTATGTTATTACTTTATATATACTCAATAATTATATAAGGTAGAAGATGCTATCTCCTTGTTCTGGACAAAGTAACTAAAGTTCTGAGAGGGTAATTGACTTGATTAATCAAGTAAGAAGCTAGAGGGGCCAAGACATGAGCCTCGCACTTCAGTTCTGGACTGCACTGCGTGTGCAACAGCCTGTTCCTCTCAAAACAGGTGCTGGAGTTTTCCATGGGACTCAGTATGTTGGGCTCTTAGCCATAGGACCAGTCCCTTTCAGTGGTCTGTAAGAACTATCTAAACTGGCCAACAAACCCTTGAAAAGAATGTTGAGTGAAAAGATGAGATCAACCTCTCCTTGGACAAGCCTGGGTAATAGCTAATGCAAACATGCATCAAGTTCCCTCTGGGGCCCCAGAGGTCAGTGGGCTTGTGGTTTTGGGCTGTCTTCTGGCTTCTAACTCAGGCCCTTAGGAAGCAGTCAAATATGTGCACAGCAGAATGGAGACAGGAGGGCACAGAGTTTAATTATGAATCTGACTCTTTTGTGAAAAGGAAACTGATGATATCAGAAATCTCAGTGTTGCTGTCCACATGGGGACTGTTGGTTTGTTATGCTTGCATGCCGTTGGCCTTAGACTACTAAGTGCTAGGAACAGCTACCTTAATTGTGAGCTTCCTTCCTTGCCAAAGGCTTCATGTAAGCCTGTGCTTCTACTTGCGGGTGAAATTGCATCTACTCTAGCTTTTGTTTGTAAAAACCCTGTTTGGCAAAGTTTTCCTCACAGACACAGTGGCATTGTAAACTAGATGAACACCTGATTTGTTTAAGTCTCCATAATGCCACTGTGAGCCAGAAAGCAGAGAAGCCTAAGCAGCTTGACTTTTGATATAACAGAGTCCACTTGATAAAACTCATGAGCTTCCCTCATAGGGAAGCCTCTGAGCCCCACCTTAGCCTTTCTAGTCTTGACTTATGCAGTGATCATTGGTTTCTCTATGGCCCAAAAAGATTAGGAGCAGGGCTGAGAGCCTCTTGGAGGCAGGCCACCAACATCAGAGAAGAAAAAGTGGCAGTATGGGACTATGGAAATGACATTCAGTATATGACTTCAGATAAGTCCACAGTAAACTTCCTGGGCTTTTATTTCTTCATGTGTAAAAAGGAAATGTTCTAGATACACTGTAAAGTCTCTGTCAAAACTCTGGTCCTAAGTTATCACCAATGGAGTCACTGACAAAATGGAAAAAGTAGACATAAGGACTCAAAATAATGGTGTAGATAAAGAACTTGGGCTTTTGAGATAGAAACTCCAAAGTTCAAATTCTCATTCTACTACTTCCTATTTGAGAGCCTTGGACAAATTATTCAACCATTGTCTTTATTATGAGAAGGTTAGTAACTCCCTTGCAGGACTTTTTTTTTTTTTTTTTTGAGAATTGAATGCTGTTATTGTGTATATGATATGTTTGGCACATGGGAAGCACACACAAAGAGTGTGTGTAAATGTGTGTGAACGAAATCAGTCCCTAGTTGACTGAGGGCAGGTCCAGACAGCTGTTAAGAACCTTGGTAATCTTTGGGGGCTTGCTTCATTGTTATAGCACTTGATTTTAATAAGAGTTAACATTTATTGAGTGCTTACTGTATACCAAATACTGTTCTAGGCATTAATATTATTCATGTATTGAGCCATTTAATTCTCACAACAGTGCCTTAGTTGTGTTCTGTTATCCCCGTTTTCCAAATGAGATAACTGAGGTACAGAATGGTTGAATAACCTTTCAAGATCATATAGCTAATAAAGTCTAGTTCCAGAATCCATTTGTAACCACCATACTTTTTTCTGTCCCAACAGTGACTCAGAAATATTTTTTCTGATTCATTATCTTCAGGGAGGTAGTATTGTGCAGGGTGAATTGTGGGTGCCACTCCTTACCAGCTGGATGACCTTGGTGAGTTCTTTAACCTACGTGGTCTCCTAGTTCCTCTTCTCTGCAGAGCATTGTCATGAGCCAGCTGAGTGAAGTACTGTGGTAAAGCATTAATGAAGCACAGGGCCTGTCGTGCAGTCAGGCTCAGTATTTGGTGAGGGTTTTCATTTTATCCAGGTAATGTAAGAAGCACCTGTTAGGATGAGTTCCATACAAAATATGAATGGAAGCATTCATTTTGGTTACTTAAAGGAATGTATATCAGTTTTCTAGAAAATTACTTCTTAATAAAGTTTAGGAGTGCATGCATTTTACAAAGCTATAAATTAGAAATATTTGTCTTCAAACTCATCCCCAGAGTGACAATATTATCCCTTACATCAGCTGGCGTAAGGAGGCGTTGAAAATCAGCCCTTGATGGCTGGCTGTGGTGGCTCACGCCTGTAATCCCAGCACTTTGGGAGGCTGACCCAGGCAGATCATGAGGTCAGAAGATCGAGACCATCTTGGCTAACATGTTGAAACCCCATCTCTACTAAAAATACAAAAAATTAGCTGGGTGTGGTGGTATGGTACGTTCTTGTAGTCCCAGCTACTTGGGAGGCTGAGGCAGGTGAATCACTTGAACCCAGGAGGCAGAGGTTGCAGTGAACCAAGATCCCACCACTACACTCCAGCATGGGTGACAGAGCAAGACTCTGTCTTAAAAAAAAAAAAAAAAATCAGCCCTTGACCTCGGTGCAGCGTGTTAGTGTAATATAAGGAGCAACTTCTTCCAATTGCTGCAGACTCTCAGGGCATCTTGAATTACCACTTTGGATGAAAACATAAACAAAAAACAGCGTAGACTACCCTGTCTAGAAGGGACAAATGTTTCCATTTAAATATTCTAGTTCAATACCCTCTGGTAAGGGCCCTGAATTTTAAGTACAGTGAGTTTCTGAGTGAAATCTCCTGAATTTTAATGAGTTTGTTTGCATACATGAATTCGAACAATACATTAAATCTTAAAACACGTTAGCTGATTTTAATGGAGTAAATTGCCCAACTTGAAAGTTAGTAAATAGGTTTTTCTTTCCCTAATAATCAAGATGATACTTTCATCTCAAAAAAGCCATTAATCATACTTTTACAGTATCAATATGTGCTGTTAATTTCTTTTTCATCTTTAAACTGTCTCAAGAGATTTAGGAAAATAAATGTGCATAAAGTATGATTTCCCGCCTTTAACACTTTTTCTCATACAAGAATGAGGGCAGGGCGCAGTGGCACACACCTATAATCCCAGCACTTTGGGAGGCTGAGGCGGGAGGCTCACTTGAGCTCAGGAGTTCAAGACCAGTCTAGGCAACATAGGGAGACCTCATGTCTACAAAAAAATTAAAAAAATTAGCTCATGTGGTCATGTGCCTGTAGTCCCACCTACTCAGGAGGCTGAGGTCAGAGGATTACTTGAGCCCAGGAGGTCAAGGCTGCAGTGAGCTATGATGGCACCACTGTACTACAGCCTGGGCAACAGAGAGAGACCTTGTCTAAAAGAATAAATAAATAAATAAAGGATGCATGCACACATGGATGATAGTTGGTAGGGACAAGGGCAGGAAGGGCCTCAAGCCAGTGTAAGTAAGGAGGACAGATTTTGTTCTGATTATAGTTCAAAGGGTTACATTCAGGGAAGTGACACTTTTTTTTTTTTTTTTTTTGAGATAGAGTTTTGCTCTTGTTGCCCAGCTTGGTGTGCAATGGCGCCATCTCAGCTCACTGCAACTTCCGCCTCCTGGGTTTAAGCAATTCTTCTGCCTCAGCCTCCTGAATAGCTGGAATTACAGGCGCCCGCCACAGTGCCTGGCTAATTTTTGTGTTTTTAGTAGAGATGGGGTTTTGCCATGTTGTCCAGGCTGGTCTCGAACTCCTAACCTGAGGATCTGCCTGCCTCGGCCTCCCAAATTGCTGGGGTTACAGGTGTGAGCCACCGCACACGGCCCACACATTTTACTTCTTTGCTCTGAAAACATGTCAGGTT